GGTCCGGGGGGCTGGCAGGGGTCCCCCCATGCTCCCCTCCCCAGCCACCGCTCCTGTGCCCCTAGTACTTACCATTTGAGAATCAGCTGCAGCTCCCTGCTGCAGCCACTGGGGACTGCCCGCATCAGCAAAGCTCTTTGAATCTTTTCTGAAGATTTGGAGAGCTTTGAATCTATTTGAACTTTTAAATTGGTCCCCTGATTCGACTCGGATTCAGAGATTCGGCCACCAAATGAGGCCAAATCTCCGAATTGAATCACCACCCGAAGCTTCACACAGCCCTATTAGTGAACGTGTAGATGCATCCACTGTGTTGCACTATACTTTCTCTTCTATGCTTCCCATTACACAGGAACTTCCATCCCTGAACTAATCTTTAAAGTACCCAAAATATTAAGCAGTTGGCTTCAAAAGTAACTGATCTGAATTCCTCATCCTCCATTTAGACCTTCACTGAACAAGTAGGGAAAAGCTAGATTCTTTCATGAGCCTTAAGGTATCACATGGCCTTGTCATGTCATGTCACGTGATGGATAGTTGATACAGAGTCAATAGAGTCTGTATAAATGAAGGCTGAAAAATATTGGAGGAAAATACTACCTAATTATATATCTGCTGTGATTTTTTAATAAGAAAGTTATTACTAGTAGGCCTGTGCAAGTAGGCAGCTATTTGAACTGGCTTTGGATACAGCCACATCAGATGCCAGCAATCTGATCTGGAGCTCCAGACCAGGTTTCCGCTTCGATCCGGCCAAAATGGCTGTGAATCTTCGGAGCCGCCTCAGAGATCTGGCCATAGGGTATAATGGGGAATCAATGGAATATATATAACTTTATTGTTTTTTGTCTGATTTGGATGAAACTTGCAGGGGTTGTAGCCCCTTCTAAGAGTGTGAAGCTTGCCAAGTTTCAAGAAGATCGGTGCAGGAGTTTGGGAGGAACTGTACCCCAAATTCTTGGAAGCAAAACTAATGTCACGCGTACGTGTTACACCACAGGGGGGTGAACACTGCAGGGGGGTGAACACAAAACTCATGCCATGGGTGACCCTGTGTGTGTTAAGGCGCAGGAGGGTGGAAGCTGCAGGGATGGTAGCCCCTGTAGCAGCCATGACACCTGCCAGCTGTCAAGGAGATAGGTGCAAGGGTTCTGGGGCCCTGTACCCCTAGCTGCTGACAGACAAAACTCATGACAAGGGTGCTTGTGCAACAGACTGTGTCTGTCTTGGGGCAGTTGATTGTCTGTATTGATTATTTCCTCTCCTTAGTCTGTCTCTGGTTTTTTAGGTGTTTATTGTTGCTAATTAACTGGTTACACTAGCTAGCAACTGTATATTGAATTAGTCCCTGAGTGAATCATGATTGGTTGGTAACTGGTAACACAGTAGCTTAGCAGCCAGGTCTGCAGTAGCGACCGAAGCTTCTCCAGATCTGAAGCAGGGTCTGAAGCCTTGCACAGCTTTAATTACTAGATGTTATTTAAAATCATACACATAAGTTACTGGACTCCTTATAGGAACAACAGGATAAAATTCTATACCGTGTGTTATACAGGCCATACTAGATCTGGCCTTATATACTATGGATCTATGAAAATCATTTGAACTTTCTGTCCAATGCGGTTTTCTTCTTTAATATTTGTCTTAGATGCTAAGAATTCATCTGTTCTTTTGCTCTCTTTCAGACCAGGGCACTGTGCAGAAAGTTGTCGTCCTTCCCACCAACTTCTCAGCAAGTGGAGAACTAATTTTAGAAGAACTGGAAGTTTTTCAGGTTAGAATCTCTTGCTTTCGACTCTTCCACCATATATGTTCACACAAATACCTTGATTTAAAGACCTTGGCAAGGGGGCTAGCACTTGATAAATGATCAAATGCATTTGAGCATGATGCCCTCTAAGCAAAGGGTAGGTGATGTGTTATGTACTATGGGCCATAGTAGACTTAAATCTTCTTTCAGTTGCATTTAAATCACATTTTTGTTGTCATCCTTGCTCAAAGGATTTAAATAATCACATTTTAAGAGGTCAGTTATCATGACTGCCAGGTGTAGGCTTTTATCATATTGAAACTGCTCCAATCCCTATTCTAAGCCCTGTTTGAAGCTGGAATCTGAGATTTTTTATTTCTTTGATTTTTTGATAAGCTTTCTGATTTCTGACTACAGATTGAAGCAAATTGGGATTTTTTTATACTTACATCCAGTTTCTCAATGCCAGATGACACAGGAGTTAGAGAGCTTCACACTTAAATCACCCTAAGGTGACATGAAGTATAAAAAATACATTTTTCCTGAATTGTTTAAATAATTATTCAGGCACTGTCAAGCACACTTAGCACATAGCTGCACATTAGTACTTCAAAGAATTGTTCACCCTGCTGTTAAAAAGGTCCTTTAAATTCTCTGAGTAGACTGCTATTTATTGTATAGATTCAAGGCAATTACTGATACTGAGCTGCAATCCTGAATAGGGACCAGTGCTTAGATATATCATTGCAAAGGAAGCTCAGCCTGCAGCACAAAGAGGTCCTCCAGCCTGCTGTCTTTGGGGGTGGCAGAATGGCAGCTGTGACATTAGGAAGGCCCTGGGCCATCTTTTCAGCCTCTTCTTTCGGGGCACAGAAAGAGCAGGCACTATGCTGCTCTGTGTTTGGACAACTGCTGTGATAGTTCCTTGAGCAAGCAATGCAAGGAGTGTTGCCTCTGTTATCCCCCACTGATGCTGTTCTATTATCCCCTGCAATATGTCCCAACCATCGTGTGCAGTCCTCCCATGCACCAGGCTGTGTTCCTTGTGAGCATGCATGTTCCTCTTAAGTTTGAGTGAATACTGAGGCTATATATATATATACACACACACACAAGAGTACATTAAACCTTTCACTGGAAGTATTCTTTGAAGAAGGGACAACTGGTATGGATAGGAAGCTCTCATGGGTAGTATTTGTCAAAAATATTAACTCTTAGTCCCTTGCATAGTGTTCTAATGACACAGAATTCTAGTTTGAGCCCTTAAGGTCTTTACCTCTGCAACAAGGGTTGAGTTGGGGCTCACCCTGATGACCCTCAAACTTAGAGAGAAGGATACACAGACTTACTAATAGTAAAGATTTAAAATGAATCCTACAGGGTGCCTCTACATGTGTTATTGCTGCAATATAGGCTCACTGGGCAGTAAGATACTGCATGTTAAAATATGGCTCAGTAGGCTTTCCCCAGGAGCACATCTACAGGTGCACCTTGTAGGGAGTGAATCTGACCACAGCCAGGGGAGCTCCAGGTTCCTCTATGTTGGGAGCCCAGGGGCTGGTCCCAATGCACATGGGGCCAGGGGAGCTATGCTATCTACAGCAGCAGCTGTCTCCTGGCCCTGTGCACATTGGGAGGGGTCCTGATATGCATGGGACTGGGAGACAGCTGCCACTGCAGCCAGCAGAGCTCTCCTGGCCCCATGCATATTGGGACACAGCTGCCAGGGAGCCAGGTGCCCAGTGGATTTCCCTGCCAAGCAGATGGCTCCGGCTGGGAGCTGTCCCACTCTGGTGCAGCAGCCAGTGGGGCAGGGATTTTTTACACAGCAGGGGGCTAGCTGGAAGCTGTCCTGCTTGTGGGGCAACTGTTGGTGAGCCCATGGCTGGGCTAGAACAGCTCCCAGCCAGCTCCTTGCTGGGCAGAAAACCCTTGCCTGAGGCTTGTAGCAGCTGCCACACAAGCAGGACAGCTGATGGGGAGCCCCCAGCTGATCAGGGAAGCAGAGAGCTCCCCAGTTGTGGTGCTGCATGGCTCCTAGCTCCTGTGGGAAACCAGGAGCCACACAGTGCCAAGCCAAGGGTGTAGAGAGTGATCCCATCCCAGTGCTGATTAGCTCCTAGCTACTGAGGGGAGCCAGAAGCTGAGCAGTTCCAGGACCGGGCACAGAGAACTCCCCCATCCCCTGTCGCTCTAAGGTGCTGTGGCTGACTAGGAGCAAATTCGCTCCTGGTCAGTGTCCTCATGAGCAGTACTGCACAGTAACTAATGCACAGTTAATTGCATGCAAAAAAACATGCACTAGTCTAATTTACTGCTTAGTAGCTTCTGCACACAGTTACATGGTGATGCTTTCCTGTGCAGTAGACTAGTCTACTGTGCAGTAAAGCATCTTGGGCAGATGTGCCCACAGTATGAAATCTGAACGGCAAAGCAGCATTTCAGCTCCTGAGCACCTCAGTCCCAAAGTGCTCCAATCCCTGTTCTACGCTCTGTCAAAGCTCTGCCAAATTGTAACCAAATTGTATCCCCTTTGCTATTCCAGTCTGATAGTATACTGTAACAGCATTTTTCTTATGATTGCTGTAGAAAATGGTCAATCTCCAAAGTTATGATGGCCAGTATTATTGTTATCACTGATACAATACATTTGGATAAGAATAATGGATTGTTTCATTAATGTAAGGCAATGGGTACAGTAACTCCTATGGGTATTTTTTCACATTCAGTCAGACTCAGATAAAAGACTAAAAATGTCCTACCATGACTTGAGGTATCATCTGAGTAAAAACCAAAAAAAAAAAATAAAAAAATATGTACCACAACACTTCATTTTTAATGCTGAAGTTTCTTCTTGATAATCTACAAACCATGTGTTGGACAGTAACCAAAGTCTATTCACTGTAGACACAGTGTAGAAGCAATATGACATGTTCTTCTCCTGATCATGCGCTAATTACATATGAGCTATAGAGTGATTTCTGCAGGCTATCATCTTCAAAGAATGTGAGAATGATGGTTTGAAAGTGCATACTGGTTGTCAGTAGTAGCGAGACAGCTCTTAAATGCAAGTCAGCTACAAGTGTGCAAGAATTTGTTAGTATATATACTGAAATATGATAGAGTCAAGTCTACAAGTTCATGTAGCCAATATACTTACTGAGTCAAACCCTGGATATCTATCATATATGTTGACCTGTGGCAAAAAAAAAATTAAGTGAGAATGATATCTTTCCGGGGGGAAACCCTGTTTATTTAGAAAGGGCTGAACTTAGAAAGTCAGAGCGCTGTGACTATATGAATCAAAAGGAGGGCATACAAATGAGATCTGGAATTTTGTCTTTCAGAATAATGCTCCCATAACGACAATGAAGATTTCTTCTAAAAAGGTAAAGAAAACTAGAACACTCACTTAACACTTAACTGAAGACAGGATTAAGGACAAAATGTAAAATAGGAACAGCAGACTCTCCAACTGGTAGAATATGTGGTAGCTCCACTGAATTTCATTACATTAGGACAGAAGTGCTTTTTTGCTGTTTATTATTTTCATTAGCATTAGGTACTATTTATCAAATTAAACTTAGTGAAATTGGACAGCTTCACAACAGAGATGAGATGAGGCCAAAAACAATTATTGAATCCAGATCAGGGTTTAATTTCAGGGTTCATTTCAGCTATAGATAATATTCTTGATCTCTATTCTGGGTGTAATCTGTCATTTTCGTGTGGATTCTAAGACTCTTTCATTATTGCTTCATATGTGGGATCATGGACTTCATTGATCCCATTGGCTTAGCATATGGTACTGTTCAAGGATAGTAAAGGTATGAAAATTTTGCCCCGATTACTGTAATAGAATCCGCAGTTTTGTGCTTCTGGAAAGTCTGCACTAGAGAAATCCAAGTAAAAGATTTGCACTTTATTTTTTTAACAAACTATATGCAGAGAAATTCCTTAGTTCAAAGGCTTTTAAATCTGAAATGTTAGCTCAGTTTGGTTTCCCCAGAATGGAACAATGAGCCTCAATGTTCAAAGGAGCATTAGTATTCTCCATAGTGTACTTAGTGTTTTCCAGCAGGAAGGTGGTAATATTATAGGTATATTAACCTGAGAGATTTCTATTTATTTTGGCTTTGCAGCCATCAGTGCTTCCCTTCTTGGTACTGTGTTAATTCCAAAATGAATTGAAGGGCTTTGGGGTCTTTTAGCTGAGTTCTGGTCAAAACTCCTCCTCTAAACTCCTTACTGAAATAAATCTTTCCATTTCCTTCTACAGCAACAGCTATACGTGAGCTCAGATGAAGGGGTCACCCAGGTATCCTTGCATCGCTGCCATGTCTATGGAACAGCCTGTGCTGACTGCTGCCTGGCCAGAGATCCTTACTGTGCCTGGGATGGCAATTCCTGCTCCAGGTTCTACCCAACGGGGAAAAGGTGAGAAAAGATTAAATAATCTGATGAGATTTGCAAAGAGAGCACAGGGTTTTGCTCTTGTTATTCCATCAAGGGCTATGTAATGTGATAGCAGAAGGGGATGCTTTTCAGTGCTAGCTTCTTTAAAAATAATTTCTAAGTACCTGTTGTACTTGGCATTGTATATAGCCTCAAAGCATCTGCTAAAGCAATCACATTTTTTAAATATTTAAACCTATGTATTATTAAATAAAGTTATTGTTATGGTTTTAACAAAGTCCTAAATCTTTTTCTCATGTCAACTATTCACAACAAAGTTAATGGATTAGGATAAACCTGCTATAAGGAAAAAAAGTTGATACCTAGCATACCAAATGCTGCGCTTGTTTAAATATGGTTGTTTGCTGTAGCCATAGCAGTATCCACTTTGCCCAGTAAGTATCTGAGAGCAGATCTGAGAGATTAAACCATTTATCGTTTTCTTCCTTGTTGTTCCTAACTGAACAGGACCATTTTTAGGGAAACAGAACAGTTAAGGCCAAGCTGATTATCACATAATACCTGCTAACTTTGGATTTTCAGGGTGGAGTTTATTAAAGAAGATGTGGCAGGCAATTTCCCCCTAGTTTATAGCAGAGGTAATAGCACAGCCCCTAACGGTTATACAAAAAAGCAGCCTTTTTTTTTTACTTCTCAGTGAAATAGTTAATAGCTGCGGGCTTCAGTGTGGTCTCACATGACTAGGATTTCACAACTTGCACAAATAAGTCTAAAGAATAGCTAACAAAAATGAGTGGAGTGTTATCGCAGGCACATTAAACCTTTTGTTCACAAGCTAGGTGTTAGCCTAGCGTGTGCTGGGTAATACAGCACATGTTCCTCTATACAATCTCCCTGCATCACAGCTGAAAGGAAGAGACTCAGGATCATGCATGCAATACTTCCCCCTGTGCCTGTACACAAGGAACCAAGAGAGACCAGTGGATGGAGCCT